AATGGGAATCTGGTTTGCAAGCTTCACAAGTCTATATATATGGACTTAAACAAGCTTTGCAACAATGGTATTCTAAATTTTCTCACTCGCTACTTCAGTTTGGTTTCACTCAATCTAAGGCGGATTATTCTTTGTTTACAAAAGGCACTGGTTCTTCTTTTCTTGCACTGCTAGTGTGTGTTGATGATATCATCATCACGGGTCCATCTAAGTCTAGCATAGATTCTTTGAAATAATTTCTCCACAGCCAATTCAAATTGAAAGATCTTGGTTCATTAAAGTATTTTCTTGGACTTGAAATTGCTAGGTCTGCCAAGGGCATCGTTCTTTCCCAATGACACTACATCTTGCAGCTATTGGAAGACACTGGTTTTCTTGCTTGTAAACCTGCACCAGTTCCTATGGATCCTCGCACCCGCCTCACTGGCAATGATGGATTTGTGTTGCCTGATGCTTCTCAATACTGCCGCCTTATTGGACGATTGTTGTATCTTACTCTGTCTCGACCAGACATCACTTTTACTGTTCATAAATTGAGTCAATTTCTTGCTCAACCTCGGACTACTCATCTTCAAGCTGCACACTATCTGCTTCGGTATCTCAAAACCAGTCCTGGTCAAGGCTTATTCTTCTCTGCTTCTTCTTTTTTACAGCTTAAAGCCTCTTCTGACGTGGATGGGGATTCGTGTATTGACTCTCGGCGTTCTATTACTGGTTATTGTGTTTTCTTAGGTGATTCTCTAGTGTCTTGGAAAGCCAAAAGACAACTTATTATCTCTCGGTCCTCGGCTGAGGCTGAATACTGGGCCATGGCTGCTACTACTAGTGAATTGGTATGGTTAAAGCAATTATTGCAGGACTTTGGTGTTGTTCTATCCACTCCTATAGTTCCTTTTTGTGGCAATCAAGCTGCTGTTCACATTGTTTTGAATCTCACTTTTCATGAACGGACCTAGCATATTGAAATATATTGCCACTTTGTTCACGACAAGGTCACTGCTAGCATCATCAAACTTCTGTCTATTCGCTCCAATCTTCAGCTTGCTGATATTTTCACCAAGCCATTGTCTTCTCCTCTTCTATTTTCTCACTTGTCTAAGATGGCTGTGAAAGATATTCACAATCCATTTTGAGGGAGAGTTTTAAGCATACTTAACGTTAGAGTTTGTTAGAGTTTGTTGATTAGTTTTAATAAGACCCCGTTCATTTCACTGATTCGAGTTTAGAATTCGAGTTTTGCTACAGTAAAAAGCTCTCACAAACAATCACATCTAACTTTTTTGCTACAGTAAAAAGCTCTCACATAAAATCACATCTCAACTCGAATTAAAAACTCGAATCGGCGAACTAAACGGACCCTAAGTTGTTAAGCAGCTTGTAGAGTAAGTTAAGCTCTTAACAAACTTTTCTCTTTCTGCTCTGTATATATAAAAGCACATATGCTGTATTTTCGGATTATCGAGTTAAATGAGAATAGTATTTTTCTCTCCATACAAACGCTTTTTTCCTTCGTAATACAATTGCAAGGATAACTCTAATCTTGATCATCTTCTCAAGACACAGAAATATGTATTATTATTATGTATATACGTAAGAGAAAAAGATATAAATTAACAATGTAATTGCAATATCGTTAAGTTTCTTCGTTGGCTATTTGAATGGTGCAATGAAAGCCACAAAGGGAACACTTTATATAGAGCTACGGAGAACAGCTTTTCCAATTAAAATGTTGGGGAATCTTTCAGTTAAATGAAGGAAGCCAAAATCAAGGTTGGTTTCCTAACGCGGCAAGTTCATTAATATTTTATCTAATTTGCACAAATATATGATAATATTTGAATAATAGTAATAATTAGTCAAGTTATTTTTATAATTTCTCAAGTCAAATACTTTTTTATATAGAGGAAGCTAATCATTGGAGTTGACTCGGAAGTCAGAAAAGAGGAGTAAACCGAAGAGAATTATGGGAAGCCAATTATAATTATCTAACAATACATAAAAAGAGTAAAGTTCTTTTTTATAATGACAGCCCCATTATATAACTCTTTTTTTTTTCCTTTTTTTTCCTTTTTTATCTTTATTTTTTTTGAATTTTTTTACATTTTAATTTTATTATGTTTTTTTTAATTATGTTGTTCATCACTTTACTCTTATGAGAATAATTTTTTTCACATGTTATTATTTTATTTTTAGTTAGTTAAAATATATTTTTTTAAATGTGTCCCTACTTAATTTTTTCCGTCAATTTTTATCATTACACATATTCATTTTTAAAATAAATTCAAAAATTCTTACATGCTTATAGAAATGACTTACACGGCAATACATGCTCCCACAAAACCAATATATATAATAAATATAACCTGGCCTTGACTTGTGATTTGGCCTATAGATAATATTCCTTATTTTACTAATTCGTGTCGTTTTGATAAGGATCGAGTTTCGACTTAAGTCCCTATCTATGCTAATCTTAAAATTTGATCCTTAAGAATTATATTAATTAACAAGAAATTAATTAGACGTGCTAATTATTGCTGATCTTTCATAATGATAAAGAGATGAATCCCTTTTATGATCAAAGAATTGCATTACAATTGTCGACGTTGAAAATTACAAGATTAATAGATCAATCTTTGATCGAAAGGTTTTCTTATAATTATAATAACCCAAATGGAGGTGCATTTTATTACACAAGTACATCTGCACTCACTCGTTAGAGAATGTTCAAAGTATTTAACCCAATATATATATATATATATATATATGTATATTTATATATATAGGGCTGTTCATTTCTTTAATTTTTCTAAGTACATGACTTTTCCACGTCCCCGAGAATCTCTAATATTGATCATGTCGTCTTCTAATTGTTGCCTATATATTAAACTATGCATTACATATCTAATTGTCTACTAATTAATTAACTAAAGGTAGCACTAATTTTCCAAAAACAAACCAACAAACAACCTACTACATGTGCCGTGGAGTAACGAAATAGGCCATATTATTGTGAACAAAAACTGACAAATTATTTCTTTGCTCAAAGTAAAACTGAAGCAATTGAGAGTCTGTTTAGTTCGTTGATTCGAGTTTATATGTGATTTTATGTTAGAGCCTTTTTCTGTAGCAAAAAAGTTAGTTGTGACTGTTTCTGAGAGCTTTTTATTGTAGTAAAACTCGAATCGGTGAAATGAACGGGATCTAAACATCTATACACACACACGCACTATACACATACGTATGTTGTACATATGTATGTATAATGTATGTTGTTAGGTCTGTTTTCACGCAGGTGTTACAAAGAGTGTTACAACACTTTTAGCAACACTTGCAATTAACTATTAAGTTCTGAGATGATCAATGGACAGTGAATTGAAAACATGCAGAAACAAAAAGTAATGCAGGGGAAAAATAACACTAAAAATGATATCACAGTTCGGGGCGCACACCTACATCTGCAGGGCCACGCCCAGACAATGAATAATCCGCTAAGTTTAAAGATTTACAATCACCAATCGGTCTTACACACTCAAAGACTCATTCTTTGCCGTAGTCGCTGTTGCGAAGAATCCTCTTAGTGACTTTATCCAGTGAGCACCACTCGACTTCAAAAGCTTTCTCCCAAAAGCGATGCAAGCTTCTCCCGAAAGTCAAATATTTCAATCACCAATTAGGCATCACATAAGCACTACTTTTCTGCAGGTTGTATTCTCCCCAAAACCATACACGTTCATCACCCTCTCACTGGAAAACACTCGCCCCACAGGTTTTTTCAAATCAGCCACACTCTGCACACCTATTTTTCTCAACGTTGACAGCCTACACAATCAATTGCATCCAAAAATACTTCCTAAAATGTCTGTCTTCTTCTATGGAAAGAATCATCCCAATACTGATGTCAACCACCCAAAACCGAAGCAAAATGCAGAAATAAAAATCTCCACAGCTGTACAGATGACGCCAAAAACCATTTGCACCAGTTTTTGACTTTTTACAACCTTTTGCCAACTAACAAAAATCTTTAACATATGTCATGGTTCTCCAACTCACACATGAAGAGAGAATTAATATTCCACTAAATTGTAGCGAAAAAAAGATCTTCACGACGTTTTATGGACGTATAGAATTATAGTAGTTATTAGCAAGCTCTCATATCCTCTTTAATATTTAGCAACTTAAATTACAAAGAATGTGGAAATTCTATCAAGCTAGTTTCTCCACCTAAATTGGAAATGTATATATGAAACTTTTCCAGGAGCTTAAGCAACGGAAATTAAAATGCTGAGTGCAATATCAACAAATTATTCTGTCTCAATCTATATTATTGACATTATATATATATATATTTATATAATATGAAACTTTTTTGGGATCTTAAGCAAATTCCCTTGTCCGCCGATATTGGAATTTGTACATGAAACTTTCGAGCTACGATTTTAAGGGACGGAAAAAATTATGAATATGAAAATAATATCACAAATATTGGCAATGGTCTTTTATAGTGTTAATTTCTCTTTAAACTAATTATATATGAAGTGCATATATTGATCAACATTTCTGTTTTTATAGACTCCAAAAAATGATTAAGTATTCGCATAGCTAAGGATATAATTTAATAACACTTATTATTAGTGATTGGCTTCTGGGTATATCTCTTGTAATTTTTCCTCATTTTTAATAGAAATTATATCCATATCATGCGCGCGCAGTCATAATTAACCAAAAACCCAATCCTAATTTAGATCAATTTCTTACAACCCACACATAATTAACAATAATATATAAATTAAAAACAATTTTACATGAACATAATGAACTTTCTAAATAATGAATTCAAACCTGCAATTAATATAGATACACCGGATATTACACCGGTAAATTATTCACCACAATTTGAACGACAAAAGAAAGAAAATTAAGAATCACACACTTCTGAAAAAAATTCAACCAAGTAGTTTTTTGTAATCAAACATCACTTATCCCGTGATCAAGATTATTAATTAATTTACCACATTACACTTCTTCCTAATCTCTCCTTGACTTCCCGTAAGCACTTCAATTGCACCCATTCTCTTGATAGACCGACCAAACTCGGTGAAAAACTTATCAGAATTCATTTGCAATTCATCCACAACATTACTAGCTCCTTTGTCAGTCAAAAGTGCCGCGTCGGACTGGAAAAGGCCCTGGTGGAGCTTCAATATTTTGAAGTAATGGTTGTCAAAGGAGCCCGAGCTGCCGGGGTCCACTTCGACGGTGGTTGTGTTGTCGGAGAGGCTCCGGCATTCGGTACTCAGGAAAGCGGCGTAGGTCGCGTTTAGAGAAGGATCTGCATCGCCTTTTCCGGTGTAGTTGTAGAGCCTGTTGCTGAAGAAATTGCAGTGGCCCACGCCAATGCTATGTCCACCTACGTACCATTAATAAGCAAGTCATGTATATATATATATATTAGTTTTGAGTTGCAATAAGCAAGTGCATTAATCCCCGTTCATTTTACCGATTCGAGTTTAGAATCAAAATTTTACTACAGTAAAAAGCTCTCAGAAACAGTTACAACTAACTTTTTTACTACAGTAAAAAGCTCTCACATAAAGTCACATCTCAATTCGAATTAACGAACTAAATGCGCCATAATTTTACCTCTTTGATTTTGGGCCTCAGCATTTTTGTCACATGTATACATTATATGGACGAGTTTTCAGTTGTTATAAAATCAGCATTTTTGTCACATGTATATATCATATGGACAGGTTTTTAATAGTTACATTTATAACAACGTGAAATTAACGTGATCAGTAGCCTCCTTAGGGTATGCATTCTACAATACAACATATGCCAACAAGATATATATGACGGATTTTAATTCGGTGAATGAGCTAGCTAGAGTGCCTTAATGGTTATAAATTTATTGATCAATATTTATGGCATGTTCTTTTGTCTAAAAAATTTAAAAAAAAGACAACTCGAGTTCCAACTTTATTCAAGTTCACGTTCTTTTAAGTTTTAATTTTATTCAACTTTACTCAACTTTATTTAAGTTATAACTTTAACTCAAGTTATAATTGAATTTACCTGATAAAACAACAAGATCATGAACAGTGAGGCTTTTGTTTGCAAAAGACTGTTTGAGGGAAGAGAAGTTGAAGGAAGGCGAAGGAATATTGGCCGAAGCCTCTGAGGCTCGCGAAAGGGCCCCATCCCTTCTTCCAGTTTGCACTTCCCACATTGACTTCTTGAACTGAAACCAAATAAAAGTCAAATTAATAAAGTACAAATTAAAAAAAAAAAGTTTGTGTATAGTTGGACGAGTTTTCAATGTTTACGTATTTCCCTTCAAGGAGTATAAAGTTATGGATTTTATGTTTTTGAAGCAATAATTATTAGGTATGAATTAAGTAGTATAGTTACTTGGTAGGAAACCGAGTCTCTAGTAACTAGAGCAAGGATGTCTGCACAAGAGACTACTCCTGGGCATGTCTTCTCCAGTTGGGTTTTGATTTCGTCTATAACATCGAATCCCCCGAGCGACAGGTTTGGGACCGCCTCTTTCTCCGCAGTGTTGTTTGTTGTCGAGTCCAACAAGATCGACGCATCACAACCCTACAAGCTCGATGTTCAGTATCAATCGAATCATTTTATATTAATAAAAAATTACAATATGAATCGTAGCATGTGACGCTATTTAAATTATAAATATATAGTGGGATTATACATAATACGCATTGGCATGTTATAATGAATATCACAGCGCGATATATTTAAATCACGATCATAATCTAAGAAATATCACATGAGTCGATTAATTCTAGTTATATATACCCTAACAAAGCAATCATGGAAATGCATCCTCAGGAACTTTGCAGGCAAAGAAGAATTGGTTGCAACTCGCTTCCAAGTGATGCTCGTCACGATTTCCTCCGCGAGGGGACACGTGTCCGCGTAGAACTGCTTCTTCAGTTGCCCTCCATTGCAAACTGAAAGAGCTAGAAAAAGTACTAGAGAGATTAAGAAACTGGTTCTCATTTTTCTAAGAAGCTTTAGGAATGCAATATAGCAATATAGTAATATTTGTATGTACTAAGGCTGATATATATTGTAAAATGTATGTCGATGATCATATGCTTCACTAACTCAGCTATATTTATACATAGGAATTAACTTGCATATAATGAATTCTTATTAAAAGAATTGATCAAGTCAATGGCGGAAACATGTTAAAAGATAACATTAATAGTTAACTTAAATTAAGTCTTACGTTTGAAATGTTGACTACTGCCGAGAGAAAAAGAAAGAATCTGTAGGTTGGTTTTTCTTGTTCAATGTCGTTGAAATAATCGGTAGGTGTAAGATTAGTTATATATAACCTAAACAATAAGATCTTAAAACGCAAGCAGGCGTTGAATATTTGATACTCAGCAGCTCCTAATTTTGTATATAACACAAGTTCATTTTATATCACATTTTGTGTTTTAGTGGCCTGTGGTCATTCAGTTTTCATGGCATATTTTATGTGCAAGTCTCTCCATTTTAGTTTCTTGGAATTTAGTTAATTTCCCTTAATTTTCTAGAAGAAAAACCGTACATTTTAGTATGGGTAAACTGATATCTAACTACTTGGATTAATATGGTTCAATATCATCTGGTATTATATATATATATATATATATATATGTAAGTCCCTTTCACTATATTAGGCTTTTTAGGATCTATAATTGTAAATTAATAGTTGGACATGCATATGGAACATGTTTTTCTTGGAAAGTGTCCAAAAGCAGCTTTCGAATTCATTCTTTTGAGAAAAAGAAAAAGGAAAAAAAAAAAAAAAAACAAAGGGGTTGTAACAAATCTTTCTCAAAAAAAAAAAAAAAAAAAGACCGATACAAATGTACATAGTAATTTTTAATGATATTTAGTATTCTTTTAAAATGTAATTAGAAGCACCTCATAACTAGGAAATATACGTTTCAAAGACTGTTGGTAAATTAGTTGTATCCACCAAGGCTTTATTAATTTCATCATAAATATATAATTGCCTGATATACGTCTGAGACTATACATGAGTTTTCATATTAATCCATGCTTTAAGTCTAAGCTTAAAGTGTTCCAACACAAGTCAAAAAGAGGAGAAAAAAAAAATGATCTCCAAACAATTAATACCTAGCTATATATACCTAAAACACGTTTGTAATATATTACTATAACTATAGTTTTCTAACCCCCAGTACTTTATGTAGCTATATATCTGAGCTCGCATGCGAAAGCAGACATTTAATAATATGACCTCTTTCATGTTTTTTGTCATGTTTAGTACTCTTTTATATTAGATAACTTACTGAAAATCTTACCATATATGAAACGAGTAATAATTAGACCAAATATGAATGTCATGGAAGAAAAAAAGGATAATGTGAAAATAGTTAACATGCATTGCAAGGGAAAGAAAAAAAAAAGAAGGGTATTTAAGTTAACAAATAAAAGAAATTATTTGTTTGGTAATATATTTATATACTTGAACTAATGTTGAAAGTAACCTTTAGGAAAAGTTATCTTGTTTCTTCTCTTTTCTTCTTTCTTAAAGTTGCTTTTGAACTTGTTTAGATGGACAACCTTAAAATACTTTTAATTTTTTTAAGCACTTATGAAACAAGTCATCTCATTAGCGCTTATGAAAAAAAAGTACTTATAAAAGCTTTTTTATTTACACTTTTAACTTTTTATTTATGAACAACAAATTAAATATCTCATTCATATATTTTATTACATTACTTTTTGTAATAATAAGTGTTTTTGATTTTTTTACTAAACAGGTTCAAAAGCTCTTCTTAAATATAAAAACACTTTTTCAAACATTATCTAAACACTAATTAAAAAGTCTTAATTTATACTTATCTTCTTCTACTACTTAAAAACACAAGCATAAACTATCCCAAACAGGCCTAGCTATGATTGATTTACTTGGTCAAAGAGAGACTAACGTTGAAGATGCAGCATTGTGTAATCATCCTTTGACTTAGTCAGTCATCATATTATATTAATGCAGTTTATACATTTACATATGAGACTGATTAATCAGAATAGGTTATTGAAATTTGTATGGAGTTAGTAAGATCATAAAACAAATTAGTCTGGGTTATTTTCACTAATAGTTTCGAGCTATTCACTTGTCTCATTTTGACTCATTACATTCATTTTAGAGGTTTATAGGACGTTTGGTTTATGTATTCAAAATTATGATTCAGAACCATTCTTATTTTACGTGTATTTTTTATGAGAGAAAATACTGTAGAAAATCATGAATCATGATTCAGAATCATAGACGAATATAGAAAACAAACGTCTCCTTAGTTATTATGATATAAGTATACAGTTTTGACTCATTTGTTAGTAAACTGTCTATTTTTAGATGGCATATGCATAGTATAGAAATGTAACGGGAGGGGATTACGGGGGCTAAAACGGTAAAAATAATAATAATAATAATAAATAAATAAATAGTAAAAAAAGATTCTAAAAAGAAAACAAAAAAAAAAGAATATATATATATATAATACCATGTTTTTCTTTAAACCGGATCTTGTTCCAACTTAATTGTTTTTCTTTTTGGTTACCACTTTTTTGAAAAAACTGTTTTGTTTCGTTTTTCTTTACCATTTTTCCCATGTTTTAATTGGTCTCGTGTTAGATTTCATCTGAATATAGCGAGTTTATTAACAAAAGGGTCAAAATTAGTGTATATGTCAGAAACGTAGGGCAACTAGACCTATAGAAATATATGCGAGTGGTCAAAGTGTACACAAGCAGATATCTGCAATAGCTATTATGAAAATAACGCAATTTAGGTCCCGTTTATTTCACCGATTCGAGTTTTACTACAGTAAAAAATTTTAAAAAACAGTCACATTTAACTTTTTTACGACAGTAAAAAACTCTCACATAAAATCACATTTCAACTCGAATAAACAAACTAAACGGGTCCTTAATTATCTCTTCGTTCTCAAAAAAACTATATGCGTGTGTTACGTATAAATGTTTTTATGCAGTTTTGAATTGGTAATAATCCCTTTTCTAGTAGCGTCGATTAATTCCTTAACCGTGTTTTAGTTGGACAAAAATTTGAACAACAAGAGAAGTTAAAGTAATCCACAAGTAAAATTATATGCATTATTTCAGGAAGTTCCTTAACCGCGTTGTTATAATTCATATTCTTGTCATATAAGTAACTGCCATACATACATGTTTCTCGGGAAGGTCTAAACTTTGTATTTTATCCTTCTTTTGTTGTAGTTGAAAGATAAATTGTGTGTTGGTATTTGTATGGTCAAAATAATAGGCGCGTTCGGTACTCGTTTCAAAATAATTTTATTTTTTGTATGAAAATGAAAATGAAAATGTTTTCAATCTCAGATATAAATTATTTTTGAAAATATATTTGGTAGTTTTATAAAGAGATTGTTTTCAGTGTAAAAAAACCGATTAATATCTTTCTTTCTCTCTCTCTGCTCGAGAGAGGAGAAAACGAAAACAAAAAATGAAAAACGATTAAAAGTCTCATTTCTCTCTCATTTTACACTAAACTAAAAAATTATTTTCATTTCCGGTTTTTGTCCTTATTGCGCCAAACACCGTTTTGAAAACGTTTTTAGTTTTTTTTTTAAAAAACGTGAAAAATAAAAACGGGATCACGGCCAATATTTTTTTGACATTTCACAAGTATTTATCGCTATATTCGTACATTACTCTCTACTTCACCGATCTGCATTATTGTCATCTACGTCCTATAATTTCCTTACCGTTTCAGGTAATATTCCTACAGTTTGGGTTTTCTACCACATGGCCAAAGTTGTTTTCAAATCAATCTTTTGTTGCTTCTTTCAAGATTTTTGTTATTTTCTGGATTCTTTTCTCATTACTTGAAGTTATTGTCGTTTCTCAGACTTTTGTCGTTTTAGCATATTATGTCGTTTCTACAACAATTGTCGTTATACATGTCAGTGAGATGGTTTGTTGTTGTTGTTGTTGTTAAATTTCCAGTTTATGTGGTTTCTTCTAATATTGATCTCTGCATGTCAACGATAAATGATTTCATTTTGTTTTCTTTTTTATTGTTTAATATTATTGTCATTTTAAAAGATGTCGGCTTTTAGATCTTATTGCCGTTTTCAAATTTGGGTCTGTCTTATATTTTATTCTGATTGTCGTTTTCTGTTCTTCTTTTTCGAAGATAGTCGTCTCAGATTATTTGTCCTTTTTTCCCCAGTTTATGTTGTTTCTTCGAATGTCGTCCATCTACACTTGAACTTTCCTTTTTTTTTTCTTTCCATTTTTCACCCTTTTTTATTATTATTTAACTCTATTTTCGTCTCTTTCGTTGTTTCAAATATTGCCGTTTATAATTGTCTTTTCCAGTACGTGTTGACATGCTGTCGTTCTTGACAGTATTGTCGTTTTTACATTATTCTCTTTTCCCATAGGCTTCTTCTGTTACGTTGACAATGTTGTATTTTTCCTGAGGCTATCGTCGTTATCACATGATTTTTCAGGTTCAAGGCAGCAATAGAGAAATTTACACCTTAAAGATCTTAAAGATCTCTCTCTCTCTCAATTCGAAGTTCTGTTTATATAATGAAATCCAATCTAGATCTATTTCCTTTACTTTTCAGTTCTGTTTTTGCTCGTAAAAGCATAGTAAAATACAGTGACCATGAGATGAAATATATTAAAACTGATTGGCAGCCAAAAATTTTGAGTAGCTTTTGGCTTTCATTAAACTAAGCAAAAAAACTGCAACTACAAAGCTTTTGGGAGACCGGCAAAAGGCGAACGGCGAAAGGCGAACAAAAGAAGGAATTGAATGATTACTGGCTTAACGAAGAAGGCGTGTTTTTCTCTCTGGGAAATAATCTATTAACTAGCTAACAAGTCCAGCACAAAAGACCAAACAACTTTAATTCATACTGAAATACCATTCTTATATAAACAAACCACAATAGCCACTACAATCAGAAGCAAGACAGATACTAAAGTAACATTCTTTATAAAGACAGAAGAACAAAAAAGAACTTTAGTTCATTCTCTTTATTCATGTTATTAATAATTGAATAATCTCTGTACGCATTGTAAATATAACAGCCTAATACAAGAATAGCAAAAATAAAATGGCAACCTAATACAAGGAAGTTAGTAACCTGAACCAAAAAAAGACAGGAAACTGTAGCCACTTCAATGCAACAATTCGCATAAGAGTATTTCCATTTTCATTAAACTTATCAATTTAAGACCTCTTCCCTGCTTCTGTATCTCGGCTTCTCCAAGGATTCAATGCTTCCTTGATCGCCTCAGCCTCCAGAGAACTCTCCCAGGTGCGCTTCTCCGACTCCAAAACAGTTACCTTCTCATCTACATTTGTTGAAACAAGAAAGGAAATCAGAATTAAGATACACAAATGACAAAACTAAAAGCAGAAAACAACTGAAAAGCACGTCAACGGGGCTCTTTGCCCAAATGTGGTTAAGGGAAATCAACCTATAGCGCTCATGCCTCTTATAGCCCCTGAACTTTTTCGTGAATTGGCAAGTTGCTTCTTGAACGTTCAATTTTAGCAAATTACTCCCTGAATTCAATAAATTATCGCAGTCTCCTAAATCAATGACGGCTGCTAAAATTTGAACAGAAACGCATTTCGACACGGAAATACAATCTAACTACCTTTTTTTTTAGCCCAAAGGTGCATAAAAGAAGAACATGTATTATTGCACTAACTAATCCAAATTCTTCAAAAAAAAAAAAAAAAACCTAATTCAAGTTCTTACATTTAACCAGCAATCCCTCTTGGGACAAAGGGTAAAAAGAAAAATCTCAATGTCTAACTAATCTTCCTGAATTTATTACCTTTTTTTTCATTGACTAGAACCCAAAGCAACCATTTTTCTACGATTGCACAACAAGATTTCACATGATAAGCTCCATTTTTCTTATTCCTTTTTGTGTGTTCTAGGGTTTAGGGTTTATGACGTGCAAAATTACGGCAAACCCAATTCAATTTAAATTGCCCAAAATTATATTGTTCTTATCGAAATGAAATAAACCCTAGACGCATAAATAATGAGAAAAAAAAAAAGGGGAAAAAGAAGGAAGGGTCTCACACAAAAACCGGTTTTGATCATGAACATTTCCATGGAAGCTCCGATCAGAGCCGCCCCAACCGAAATCTTCAAATACCAATCTAGAAACTTCATTGTCACTGCATTTCAATACGAATTTGTGTTTATATAATGAAATCCAACCAAAAGAAAAAAAGAAAAAAGAAAAAGAAAACTTCTTTCTTTCTCTCCGTGATTGAACTGAGAAATTTGATACCCAAAATATTACATAAAAGTAAGCGTTTTGAAGCATCGATCTTGGAGCCGACGAGATGGAAGCGGCTAAGAGCGACAGAGGAGAAGAAAAGCTCACGAAATTTGGCCCTCACCGGTCGTTAGTTCGCCCATTTATTGTCGTTTATTTGTCAATGACAAATTGACACTCTTGTGCTTTTTTTTTTTTTTTTTTTTGTGTGTGTGTGTAAAATCCTTTAAGGAGTTGATATGATATAGTACTAATTTTTAACGGTTGGATATATAATGAATAAATTTTGATAGAGATATGACAGTCGCAAAATAAGATAATACTAGTAGTTTGTTTTTAGAAGAGCTACTAGAGAAAGTGCCAATTCTTTAATGGTTATTTTACTATATATTGTACCTAGGAGTGCACGTGCTAGACATGGCCCTGTTTGTTTCCGTTTTTATTTACATTTTTTACGTTTTTTGAGACTAAAAAAATGAAAACGGAAATAAAAAATGGGTTTGTCCTAAAAAATTTTTAAAAACAAAAACAAAACCGTTTTTGTCTTTTGTGAAAATTTAAAAATAAAAAAAAAAAGTGTTTTCATTTTCTCGTTTTCGTTTTCTGAAAACGGATTTTATTTTTTTTTTCATTTTCTTCTCTCTTTTCTGAAACCGTTTTTGTCTTATATAATGATGTTTATTTAATATATTTATTTAATATATTATTATTTAAAATATTATTACATGTTTTCAAAAATTAAACCACCAAACGCAGTTTCAGGTTTTTTTAAAATTGAAATTAATCTCTGAATAAAACTACCAAACGCATTTCAGAAATAATTTCAAAATGAAAATGAAAATGTTTTCATTTCTATTTTCATACAGAAAACAAAAACATTTTGGAACCAATTCCAAACGCACCCATGATGTCTTAAAAGCACGAGATGTAATAAGATTTTTATTATTTATTTAATAAAAGTTTATTTATTATTTTATTTGTATATATTATTGAATATTTTACGAATATCATTGAAAACTCCAGTGTTATATGTGAGAATATGATATTTAAGGATAATAATCAAAACGATCTTCGTAATGAATTTAATTAAAGTTCAAAATTTTTAATTAAAACATTATTAATGCATGTCATTCTTATTTAGAATAGAATAGTGTTATCCGCACTATTAATATGATGAGGTATTGAATGAATGTATTACTCATGATGAGATTGTGTGGAACCGGGACACAGACACAATATGAATTTATAATAATTTCCGTTAAGTGTAGAAATTCTAATTGAGTCTACTGATGATCATATATAGAACGATTTTAATCATGAGTTATTAGCATCTCCTATTTATATATTTGTGTATTTTAATTTACTTAGTACGGATTCTGAGTTGTTGAATCCTATTCATTATATTTTAGAGACATGATTAAGTGAGTAGCTTGGAACGTTATTATACAAGATGAAATCCATTCCTTCTTGAGAAAGAAATAGATAAATAATTCTCTTGAGAATTGATTCAGTACTTAGACTAGTAGGAGCTCCGATTCATGAATTTATTTTATGAATCACTATTCATTAGAGAATCAATGGTACTCAAGGATAAAGATATAATTAGAGAGGTTAACGGATTTCAGCTAGCTCTAATTATAAATTATTTATAGAGGATTGATCTATATGTAATGACTATATCAAATGGGCACTTCACAATTTAAAAGTAAATTATATAAATAATTACAAGAGTGCAATTCCAAGTTTCTAGTGGAGTAACTTTTGGAATTAAAATAATTAATTAATTAATTAAAGAGTTTTAATTAATTATTAATTTTATTGGAGCTCAAAATTATAAGTCCATGAGTCCTCGCGTCGTTTTTATAATGCTAAAAGACACTAAGGACAATATGGAAATTTTAAAATTATGAAATTCTAAATAGAACACTCAAGAATAATTAATTGAGAATTTATTGTAAATTAAATAACATTATCATTTAAATTTGAATTTTAGAACACACATGTGGAGGAGTTCACATGGTGTATACGCTTAGTACAGTGGGAATCCCTATCGGATTCAATTGCTTGCTCTCTAAGTTATCCAATTGGCTTATTTGATAAGTTGTCCAATTGAAATTCAAATTAAATTAAGTTTGACTTATATTTGAATTTAACTTTGAGTCAAAATTAGACTGCAGAATAAAGGATAATTTTTTCTCCTTCCCTCTCTACTATTTGTGCCAACCACATGGGGAAATATCCCTATGGTGGCCGGCCCCTATGGATAAGAGAGAGAGTGAATTTTGTTTCCAAAATCAATTAGAAGTGGGAGATAATTAACAAGCTTTATCTTGGAGATAAAAATATTACTAAGAGATTGCAGAAAATTGGAGAACATAATTTTTGCTCTCCGTAGCATAGTGTGGCCGAATTTTATAGATTGAGAAAAGGAAAAATTTTCTCTCAAATTCTACGTCATACATGTGTTGGTGTTTGTAGAATACTTGAGTGTTTATTTGTTAATCATGTTTTGCGTCAGGTATGCCCACACACACATCTTTATAGATTTAAGGAATTGACGAGAAAGATTCAGATATTTTAAGTAAGCTTGGAGCGAGGAACATTTGTGGTCAAAGCACTCAAGTTATCGACCTAACCGTTCGCTGGGTAAATTTATTCATAAATTAATTTGATAATTTATTCGTACATAAATTAATGTAATCTATAGAGTATCTCAAAGGTTTATTAAACTTTTTATTATACACAATTTGCTAGATACACGCTTCCGCATAGAAAATCGTTTTTAAAACCAACAATTAGCGGATTGGGTGGTGTTTAGGTAGTTTGGGCGGTTTTTTTAACGGGCGACTTGGGCGGTTTGGTATTTATATTTGTTTTTGTTAAAGTTTCAAAGTACTTAATATAACGAATAAAACTAAATATGCTATAGATAAATAATTATTGTTGAACATAATTTAAACTTAGTACATCAATGACAAATTAAAGTTCAAAACCATATCATAATTCAAAAATAAAAAATACAATGCAAAACATAATCCAAATTCCAACATTGAAAATCTTTAAACTTTAAATTTCAAGCTATTTTTATTCCATAAAAATAAAAATTTTAAATGTAATTAATAAATTTTAGGCGGCGGGGCGGTTTTAAACCACAGTCCCAAACTCCAATCCGTAACCGCCTGTCGGAAGAGTGGTTTTAACGTACACCCACTAATAGTGAGATGGAGCGGTGCGGACGGGTAGGCGGATTGCGGATATATTTATACAGTCTTAATTATACCCATTAATAAAAAAAAGATGTACTTAAATTTAATGGTTATTTTTATATTTATGAGTATTTAAAATCTTATAACGATAATTTATAATAAAAGATTGTATTTATACAACTAGCATATAAATATACAAGAGTTAGCATTAAAGATGTCTATTGTTTAAAAGATTACCATTAACTTCTTCACCCTATGCCTTGAACTTAGTTTAATTGTCATTTAAGCCGTAAAAATCAACAACGCAAAAAAAGTAACAACTTTAATGCAGAAAAAGTAAGAACTTTAATATGAAACTAAGAGATCGTTCAGTAAATATGTTCAAGTGTTTTAAAGATTGTTTCATTATTTACTCAACCGACCCTAAAATTCAAGGGTTCCAAGTTGAGAATGCATGATAAAAAGGAAAGGAAAAAAAAATATTGTGTTGACGTTTTATTTGATTTTTGTCGTTTATGAATACTTATGTCGTTTACAATCATGTCATTTATTGGGTGTTGTTGCTTACCATTTCTTACCGTATCTGCAAATCATTGGAGTTCATTAACGTTGCCCGCATAAATAATTGTCGTTGAGTGTCACTGTCGACGTTTTTTATTCTTGTCGTTAGTGAGTTTATGGTATTGTGGTATCTCATATGGTTGACGATTTTCATGTTATTGTTGTTTCTATCCAATGTATGCTTTTTATTATGTTCTCATTTGATATGTTGATGTCGTTTATTTTTAATGTCGTTTTGGGTGGTTGTTGTTTCTCAATTTCTTGTCGTTTCCAAGGTTAAGGTAAGATTTTGTATGTTTCGCAGTTGCGTTTTCTTGGACGCTACACCTTTTTCACGTTGATGTAATGCTCTATTTTCTATTTAACGTTATATTATGACACTGTCGTTTCTAATATTGGTGTCCGTTATCGAGTTTGTTTTCGCTACTCAATTGGAAATCGTCTTTTCTTATTTTGTCGCTTTTTATATTCCTGTCGTAGTCGGTTGGCCGTTGGTGGTCGCTTCTCACTTTGATGTCGTCTCTCATGTGAATGTCGTTTTTACATTTTGTCATTTAAATATTGATTTGGTTTTTAATATGGTTCTATCTTGTTCCTGTTTATCTGTTGGACGTGGGTGCCTTCTTTTTTTTTTTTGTTTTTTGTTATTTGGTTTCCCGTAATATATGTGTACGTCTTTATTTTATTTTATTTTGTTTTATTTTATTTTCTTTTTTTTATTCCCCTGGAATGCAATCTATATGTATATCGTTTTAATGTTTATGGAGACACCATAGATGTAATTATCAACAGAAAATTAACTAACTTGTGAGTGTCGTTTTCCATACATGACGGTTTGGTTCTAGTGTCGTTTTCCTATCTCGTCAATACTAGTTGTGAATGGACGTCCCCTACCGTGCTAGATAAGCAACACCATTATATTTTTATTATGGAAACGCCACAGATGTAATTATCATCAGAAAATTCACTAAAGTTTTTACTGATTGAACACGCAAAGTTGTAGTATAAATATAACGAACTTTCCTGGTTGCGTTTTAAAGACCAAAATACCCCTCCAAACTGGAGATGGGATTTGCATAATTTTGTGTACATTTTACTTTTTTTATTAGCATCATTCTTATTTTTCCTTTTTTTTTTTTCCAATCAAAATAGTAACGAGGAGTAATTCTAGCACTATTTATTCCGCTTATATGCATATAGCATTAAGGTACATGAGAGTTGTTGACTTGTATTATTTGGGTATCAACAATATTTCTCAATAAATTATTGCTAGATTTGTAATATTCCTTGTGAAACAGCACAGCTATGGTAGGTTTGTCCATATATGATAAAAACAAATAGTAAATATCGCAAAAATGAGAAAATAAAATAAAATAAAAAGTTGATCGGGAGCTGTTTTGTTTCGTAGTTAATGAGTTGGAGCAAATTCCAAAAAATAAATAATGAACTGAGACAAGGAATTAAAAGGGCATGGACCTACCGAAGTTGAACACTACATTGGATTTTCAACGATCAACCTTTCTCGACTTACATCTATATAAATACATATATTAAAACTAATTCCTTTAGAGGTACGTTTGAAAATGGAAGACTTGTCAAGATTAATGTAAGTTTTTATATTGAGTTATAATAATTATTCTTTGAGTCGTAAAAGTTACTATTTTAAAAATTAAAAGTCATTTTTAAATATATAATAATACCGGATCTTTACGTTTTTGTTGCGGCATGTAAGGGTGTTCATCGGTTAAAAACTGATAATTTTGCTCGATTTCAGAACTGAATCAACAATGTCGGTTTTTATAAATTTAAAACCGAAACCGAACCGAAGAACAATGTCTTCGGTCGGTTAACCAATCGATTTTTATCAATTTTTTTTAGTCGGTTTCTTACTTAAAAACATTTTTGTGAACTATTTTCTTCTTAAATTTTAACCATTCAAATATTTAATATTTAAATAGTTAAAATTATAAGAAAAAATGGCTTAAAAGACAAAAAAATAAAGCCTAAAATAATATATCCTTAAGGACTAAGGCTTTATATCTAATCTCAATTAGAAAAATTATGTATATTGAAGTCCATCATATTATTGATGATAGACGTTCAAAAGAAGTTAGACCTCTCTAACTTATAAGTTGTGATGGAGAAATGAAATACATAGCCCTTTATATAAAATAGTTGAGGGAAGACATTTTCATCTCTTTTCAATGTGAGACTTTTAAAAGTCTGACGTGCTTAAATTTGCAAACACATCAGAATTTTAATAGTCACACATTGAAAAGAGATGAGAATGTCTTCCCTCAACTATTCTATATAAAAGGCTATGTATTTCATTTTCTCATCAAACTTTCAAGCTATAGAGATCTAATTTATTTTAAACGTCCATCTTCAATAACATGATGGACATAAATTCACCATCTACAAGATTAGAGGTTCGAATATATGGATAATAACTTTTTTTTTTAAATAGAGTAGAAGGTGGTAGGTCAGTTTGGTTTAACCGATCACCTCGGCTGGCAGAATCAAAACTAAATCCCCCATGAACCATGGGCGGTCGGTTAACCGATCAAGTTAGTTAGTTTGCTGCCGTGAAACTAAATTTTTAGTTTTTTTCAGTCGGTTTGACAGTTCGGTGTTGGTCGGTTGCGATTTTTCAGTTTTTTTGAACACTCTTCATAGTATGTCAGTGTCTCCATGAGATGGCTTGTCAGCAGTGGCACAAACCCACTGCTCCCCACCACACAATCTCCCTCGCCGCCCTTCCCCATAGCGGAGAGATCTCTAACGCGGCAACTAGCAACCCATAAAAAATCTGGCACTTTTTTCTCTTGATATTTCAATCTACGAATATGAGAAATCGGGAATAATTGGGAGTAATTATGTGCATTTTATCCTACAATAAATTTAGAGAACGTTTAGTTTATGGATTCAGAACCATGATTCAGAATTATTCTCGTTTTACGTGTATTTTTTATGAAAAAAAATATTATAACAAGTTACGAACTATGATTCGAATCATAGCGCGAATCTACTTTCTAAACGTCACCTTAGTTTATATCTTTAACATAAACCATCAACTTTTGATTTAACGGCTTGATATAACTTACATTATTGACAACGTGAAATGAAAGTTCGGTACCATAGAGTCATATCATCCCCTTAAAAGTAAATATCCTGAAAAAGAAAGTAAAAAGTAAAAATCTTTTCCATTAGTTTCTCTTTTTTTTCCTTTTTAATAAAAGACAAAAAAGAAACTTGGAAAAAAAAAATAGCTGGACGATGACACGTGTCAAACAGTCTGTGCGAGTTGAAGATAAACCGGACAAGAGTGCAAGTATAGAAAGTGCAAGGTTCAAGTAGAATGTAACATTCCGAGTTCCAATTAGTCTCAAACGCGAAACTTCTCGCTCAACTTTGACGCATCAAGTCTTCCTCTTCTCTCTCTCTCTCTCTCTCTCTCTCTCTCTCTCTCTCTCTCTCTCTTAGCCATAAGACACGCATATTTTAATACCGAGTTCCCAATATAAAATTATAACACAAAACCCGATCAGGATTAAAGAACCCCAACAGTCTTCTCTTATTCCTTGATTCCCTCATTTCACAATCTTGGTTTACTATATATTTTTTTTTTTTATTAATATTTCATTTTTGGGCATCTGGGTATTTCTTTAAACTCCCACTTTTCACTTGTTTATCCATCTTTTGAACTTCTTTGGGGCTGGTACTATAATGCAAGCAGCTCAAAGAGTCACTAATGGAGCTGCAGAAACAAATTTCCAGGTTGGTTATTAGATTTATTTCTTTCTTTTACTTAAATTTCCATGTTTTCATTATGTGATCGTGTGTGTGATTATATTAAAGTTCATGGCTTTTCTTTTCAAAAGATTAGCTTTTATAATTTCTAGGATCAGCTAGTTCATCCAGTTTTGCTTCCTCTTCTGAAAAACTTTTTTTTCTTTTATTTTTATATTTATATATTTTTATCTGGGTGTTGCTTTGATTGCTTTGAACTAGATCATTCTTCATGAGACATACATAAACATACAAATACATATATATATATATATATATATATGTGTGTGATTCCAGATAATGGGGTGTTTAGTTTTCCGGTAAATATCGGAGCACAATAAGTTTGGTGAGGTTGTTCAATTTTACTAGTTTTGGGCTCAGTTGGAATTGCTATCAAGGGTGGATCTAGCTTAGATGTTTATGTATTTTTCTTTGCTATTACTTTCTCATTTTTGCTTATTTTTGGGAAGAAGTTTAGATGTTCATGTATTTTTCATTGCTAATATTATTTTCTCGTTTTTGCTTGTATTTGAGAAGAAATTGCAGATCTTGAGTTTTGCTTATACTAAATACTGCTTCCATCTTTTAGTGAGGCACTACATAGCTGATAAATATCATCTTAATAACGTTCGTGAACTTTCAGTAACTTGTTGTAGTACTAGGATTGTTGTCTCCTTAATTAACGTTTCATGTGTCAAATGGAGGAAGGAAAGGGGAGTTAGTAATCCTAGAGATATCGTACAGTATGGGAGAATTCTTTGGTAGTGTTTGAAAAAATGAACCAATGACACAATTCTGAATCATGTTGAGAATTCCAGCCTCATTCACTTGTTAAAATGTTCACTTGTTAAAATGAGTAAGTTGCTATAAAGTAGTGGAATTCCTCAGAGAGTAAGCATGTACAACAATGGCCCTAATTAACTAATGAAATATGAGTTACATGGTTTTCTGCCTTTCGACACATGGGTTTATTTGCAAGCTTATTGAGGTTAATTCAGTTCGATATTGAGTTATTTGCTTGATGCAGGCTGATCCGAAGAATGTGAAACCCTTAAAGGAAGAGGTTCCAGACCCTGGACCAAGCGGGAGGCGACCAGATATATCGCTTCAAATACCCCCTAGACCTGTAGGTTTCGGATGTAGTCGAAGTGGGAAGGGTTTGCTCCAGTCTCAAGGTTCCGCAAAAGGTAGCACTTTATCAGGAGCCAGCTTCTTACGGGGTTTAAGCTTCAAGAAGAAAGGTGTTATACCAGATGGTGAGAGAAGTTCTCTCCTCGAATCAGACAACCGGAGACCTCCAGAAAGTCCCATCATGGCCAATTTGAAATCAGTGTTTGCTTGGCAAAGATGTACTTCACTTCCTGTTAGACCAGAAACAAACTTGTCCCCTTCAGCTACCACACCTCTTTCGGCAAGGATGTCTAATGAACGCCCTAAACCAATTGTATGTTTTCCATGAAGGGCCTAAACAACTTATACGTTAGTCATATATGAACCTTAAAAGTTGATTTTTATGTACTTCAGCTGCGTTAAAATATTTGTGATTTAAGAACAAGAGAATGCTTTCCATTTCCTTTATTTCAGTTACTCAGAAATTGGTAATGTGAGAAATATAATAGTTGGGATCAATTTATGCAGAAAGGAGCAATGAAGCCTACGGTTTCGAGGTCTCTGTCTGTTCCCGGGCGAAATATTGTCATAGTAAGATCTGTGTCCTTTGCTACTTGTAGTGAGCAGACCATAACAGATCCTAGTGATGGTATGTAATTACTTGTCATTTTATTTTTGGTTCTCATTTTTTAAAGGACGTAATTACAGTGAATTCGTTAAAGTTTTTGAATCAAGCACCTTGGTTCTTATTGCTAGCCTGTTGTCTTTTTTTTTTTTTTTTTGTTCCGTTACGATCTCATTGCTTGCCTTGACTGATTTTCTTCTTAGGCATTCTAGAAAATCTTTTTATAGATATATATAGAACTTTTAATGTTCTTATGAATGAGTTTATTTCTCTTGGATTTCAGTTCCATGCATTCATTCATGGGCTAGTCTCTTTATGCAGCATATATAAGTTATCAAATAAACGAATTGAAACCTGAATATACAGTTCATCATCTCCTAAAACATTGCCATTGAAAAAATCAGATCAAATTACTCCAGCTCCAGTGGAGGGAGATGATGAAGAGATTCCTGAAGAGGAAGCGGCGTGTAGGATTTGTCTTGACCCTTGTGAAGAAGAAAACACACTCAAAATGGAATGCAGCTGCAAGGGTGCCCTCCGCCTTGTGCATGAAGCGTGTGCAGTGAAGTGGTTTAGCTTGAAGGGAAACAAGAAATGCGAGGTGTGTCAGCATGAGGTTCAGAATCTACCCGTGACTTTGCTGCGGGTGCCGACCTCTGATCAAAGGGATAACAGGCTCGCGCACAATCAACATAGTCAACATTCAGACTCAATAAGGTGGGATAGTTTGGGATTATATTCCTCTCCACAGAAACTGAGTTTGCTTGCTACATTGATATTGCTTTGTCTTATTTTCTGGAGCATGTCATTTTCAGATTTTCTTCTCAGTTCCATTTTTCTCTACATGAAGCTAACGTGCATTGATATTGTTCTCTCGCTCTAAAATATGTTTGAAAAAAGTCTATCACTAATGACCCTTCTTTTTTTGGGCAGTGCGTGGCAGGACTTAGTGGTACTCATCTTGATTAGCACAATTTGCTATTTCTTCTTCCTTGAGCAGCTTCTGGTACGTCATTTTTGCTTTCGAAGAACGCTTCAACTATTCTTAGAAGGGACATCATTCAAATATTTTTGCACCTTCTATAGTAATAATCATAAACCGAGTCAATTACATATGTCTTCTCATCTTGTAGATTCATGACATGAAAGGTCAAGCAATCATAATTGCAGCCCCATTTGCGTTCACTCTGGGACTTTTGTCATCCCTTTTTGCAGTTATCTTGGGTAAACTCAAACTTCAATATTCTCTTGTTACTTTCTTCCTACATGTATAAGTTGGGATTTCATGTAATTTGCTTGTTTTGGTTCGACTTCTTAGCAATGAAGGAGTATATTTGGACATATGCAGCTCTTGAATTTGCCCTTGTGGCCATCATTGTCCACCTCTTATACACCCTGGTGAGTGGCCCTTTGGAAGAGTATGAGAAAATTACAGATTTTACATTTTTAAGTACACGACTTCTTTGACTAGTTCTGGTCTAAAAGGTAGAAATGTATGGACTAATCTTAAGGGATAGAAATAAAAAATGGCTCCATTTCAAAGGGTATTTTTAAAAGTGCCCAGAGTATTGGATTTATAATTCCATATATGCATCTTGTTCCTTTTTTTTTTTCTTTATACTGTATCTTAGAGCTCTTGAAGCAAATATGCGTTCAAGCTTATGTCCCACATAGTTTTGGAGCAAAATATGTTAAAATTGTTAATCAATAGCTTGTTTGTTTTGTGGCAGCTTCATCTTAAGGCTATATTTGCAGTATTGCTAGCTTCAGCACTGGGTTTTGGGATTGCAATGGCACTGAACTTACTCTACATTCAGTGTTTTCTTTGGAGAGTTCGCGTTGCCGAAAACACTAATCCAGTTTGATCGAAATCCTGGCAAAGGGGAGTCCAGGATTTTACATAGGCTAAATGAGTATTGTCATACTTGCTAATCTCGTATTATTGAGATGCAAGGCATTATTGAGATGCAAGGCAATGAGATGAAATTAGTCATGTTTTTGTGAGTAACACTGCATGTTATGCATCTTTTCCTTCCCCCTTTGGCTGATAAAAGAATTTTTTTTCTGAGGGAGGAAAAATTTATCAAAGTTGTAGAAAGAGGCTCCAAGTTTTACACTCATTTATGAGTATGGTGTGACAACTAATAATTATAAATCAATTTTCTTTTCAAAGAGAATAAACATGTTCAATGAAAAATTTATATTTGATTTGTATAGCTAAAAATTTTTCATACTAAATAATGGATCAAATCACGAATTTAGAACTTATCTTAATGGAGTCATTTGATTGTCCCCGTCTTTTTAGATTAATCTAGAGAATCCATCTCTTGCCTTGAAACTCTTGAAAATATGTTCAAAGTCCTCAGGTCAAAGGAAAAAAAAAAATACATGGGAGAAAAGATTTTTATATACAGCATAAACATTTTTTTTTACAAGGAAAAAAAAAATTAGGACACTGCAGCACAACATGCACGGACAACTGAAATGCCACTACTATCCCTCAGAGAAAGAAAAAAAGAAAAGAAGTTGAAATGCACTAAATAACAGGAGATAAAATAAAATAACCTAAAATTAGTCTCTCTTGCTTTTAGTCAACGAGAGGAACTTGCAGCCATCTTTCTTCAGCCTCATTGTAGAACGGATTATCCTCATATTATCTGTGAATAGCCGGTATCTGCCATGAAAATGATGCAAGTTTGTTAGAAAAGAGACGAGTTAGTGACGTTAGCATTTATCTTTTGACAAATAAAAGCTGATAGAAAACCATGCTTGAACTCTAATAAATATCAACCGTATACTATCCCACTTTATTCACCAATGAGCTATAATTTAAAAATACAACCGACCTTCCATACTCCAGCTTTTGAGTAACTATCCCGTTCAATATCAGCTCCGAACTGTAAATTGTTGCTCCTGCAATAACAAAGCAGCAGTGATTTTACTCATTCTGCCCTTCCTTATGTGGGGTCTTGGGAAAAATAGATATTAAACATCATTATTTAACCTTTTTCAAGAAAGGGCACACAAATTTCATAATCCTCTTCACAAGACAGAATCAACAGATCATTTGGCAATGAACCATCCTTAAGCGCGGATCTACCAGTCGTCTCAACTGCCTGATGGGATAAAACCGAAACCTCTTAAATCAAATTAATACTTAATGCAAAAGGCAAATTAAAATAGAAAGTTTTAGGAGGTAGGGGGCAACAGGTCCAAAGTTTAGAAAAATATAGAGCGTGTATGGATTCCATAATCCATGAAGAAAAAACATTTGTTGTATCAACCTAGGAAAACTATACATACCCGGCCACGGACTGCCTTGACCAGACTTGAAATTATTTCTTTTCCCGGTTTTGTATTTTGGGTGACGAAGACTTTAAAACCCTGCAGAAATTCTATTATTGTTAGTAAAAGCGCGGAGCAAGTGCCGGATGCATTTGGTTAACAGATGCACACGTGTGTGTGTTTGTTTACCTGTAATAGAGGATTTTGGGATGCACAAGACAATGAAGTTGGCATGCTAAAGCCAAATTCCTTTTCCTTCTTGGCATCTCTTAGTATGTAATTTTTCTCATCGATGAAACAGTTAGCTTCTCCACAACTCTCAATCCATAAATGTGTCACCACTGGTTTACCAGAAGCAATAGCTTCTAACATATTCCTTGTACGCACAAATTGGTCAGCTATGAAATGTGTTGCCTCTATGATAGAGGATGCCAATGAAACTCCAAGACGAGCCAAAATCTGAAAACAAAAATAACAAATAAAAAAATAAAAAAGAAAAGACATTGTCCATATCAGTTTGCACATTGCTAATATATATATATAT